CCATTGGTCTACCAGTCTGTTTTGGTGTCAATACCATGCTGTTTTTGTTACTGTTGCTCTGAAGTATAGTTTAAGGTCTGGTATAGTGATGCCACCTGCTTCACTCTTCTGCTAAGGATTCTTTATAACGTCTCTTATTTTTCCAGACGAATTTTATGACTGCTTTTTCTATTTCTATGAGGAATGCCATTGGGATTTTGATTGGAATTGCATTAAATCTGTATAGTGCTTTTGGTAGTATGGTCATTTTGATAATATTAATTATGCCTATCCAAGAACAAGGTATATTTTTCCATCTTCTAAGGTCTTCTTTGATTTCTTTCTTTAGGGCTCTGTAATTTTCATTATATACATCTTTCACTTCTTTCATTAAGTTTTCCCAAGTATTTTATTTATTTATTTGAGGCTATTGTAAATGGGGTAGTTTTCCTCATTTCCCTTTCAGAGGATTTGGCACTGATATACAGAAATGCATTTGATTTATGAGTGTTTATTTTATATCCTGCTACTTTGCTGACCTAGGAATAAAACCAGAGACCCTCATCTAATAGAAGAAAAAGTAGGCCCTAATCTCCATCATGTGGGATTAGGCCCCAACTTCCCTAATAAGACTCCTTTGGCTCAAGAATTAAAATCAAGAATCAATAAATGGGATGGACTCAAACTAAAAAGTGTCTTCTCAGCAAAAGAAACTATCTGTGAGGTGAAGAGAGAACCTACATCTTGGAAGAAAATCTTTACCCCTCACATATCAGATAGAGCACTAATCTCTAGGGTATATAAAGAACTCAAAAAGCTAAGCACCAAAAAAATAAATAAATAAATAACAAATAACCTAATCAATAAATGGGCTAAGCACCTGAACAGACACTTCTCAGAAGATGATATACAATCAATCAAAAACTATATGAAAAAATGTTCATCATCACTAGCAATTAGAGAAATGCAAATCAAAACTAAGATTTCATCTCACTCCAGTCAGAATGGCAGCTATTATGAAGACAAACAACAATAAGTATTGACGAGGATGTGGAGGAAAAGGCACACTCATACATTGCTGGTGGGACTGCAAATTGGTGCAGCCAATATGGAAAGCAGTGCGGAGATTTCTTGGAAAATCAGGAATGGAACAACAATTTGACTCAGCTATCCCTCTCCTTGGTTTAGTACACAGCCACATCAATGTTTATAGCAGCACAATTCACAATAGCTAAACTGTGAAACCAACCTAGATGCCCTTCAGTGGATGGATTTAAAAAAAATGTAGCATATATACATAATGGAATATTACTCAGCAATAAAATAGAATAAAATCATGGCATTTGCTGGTAAATGGATGGTGTTGGAGAAGATAATGCTAAGTGAAGTTAGCCAATTCCAGAAAACCAAATGCCGAATGTTTTCTCTGATATAAAGAGGCTGACTCATAGTGGGGTAAGGAGAGGGAGCATGGGAGGAATAAATGAACTCTAGATAGGGCAGAGGGGTGGGAGGGGAAGGGAGGGGGCAGGGGATTAGCAATGATGGTGGAATGTGATGGACATCATCATCCAAAGTACATGTATGAAGACACGAATCGGTGTCAACATACTTTATATACAACCAGAGATATGAAAAATTGTGCTCTATATGTGTAGTAAGAATTGTGATGCATTCTGCTGTCATATATAAAGAAAAAAATAATTTTAAAAATATTAAAAAATTAACCTTGCATCCATGAATTGTGGAGAAAAGTAAATTCTTACTAGTTTTGTTGTCACACCTCAAAAGTTATAGCCACAGTATGACACAATGCTTATCGAAGATGGAAAACATATTAGGAGTGTCTGTGTATATGAAAAAACATAGAATATATAGGGCAATGACCAACGGTGGTCTCAGGCATATTCTGGGGGTCTTCCTCTGGGGGTCTTGGGATGCATACCCTGTGGGTAGGAGGGGATGGCTCTATAATGTTCTACATTCCTGGAAGAGTTGAAGGCTACAAAGTCAGAGAAGGGTATGCGTGTAGAGGGCAGAACAGGTGGTGGCAGTTTTCTGGGGGAGATAAAATGAGGACCAGGTGCTGGAGGTCAGCAAGACATAGAGAAGGGAAGAGGAGAGAGGCTTTCCCAGCCAGCCCAGGGAGGGTATTTATCTGGAAGAACACACCTAAGAAGGATGTTCTGGGTACCCTTGCTGCCCAGGTCTTGCCTCTCCCACCTCTGAGATGTAGCTCCGTGCCCCCATCATCAGAGCTGTGGAGGTTCTTCCCTGGCCCTTAGGCAGATCACACTGGCTGAGCTGGGTGCTGTTGGCCACAGAGCATGCAGAAAAGAACAAGACGGGGAGGGTCCTGGGTCTGCCTCCCACAGAGGCAGCCCAAGTACTCACAGTTCAGAAGCAGACCGAGCAAGCCAGTCAGGTGAAGCTCTGCACAGATGCTTGAATGGTACAGTTCAGGGAGCCCAAGGAGGATAGCCTTAAGGAGGAGATGCTGCCCTGGAGGGAGAGATTTGGAGCAGAACTTTTGCAATCATGAAGGTATCTGTTAACAAGTGATTTTTAAAAAACCACTTTCAAATGAGCTCTAAGAACAAAGTGCAGAAATACAGAGAAGTCTGATAATAGGGAAGGCTTCAGGTGCACTGTGATCAGGGGTCCATAGGATCATCAAGGTGATGGGTACACCCTCATTGCGGTTCTCTCAGCCTCCAGCCACGTGTGACTTTCTCCCTGACATGGTTCAGGTGTGGTTAGTCTCCCAAAGCTTCATGTGTTGGAGGCTTGGTCCTTAGTGTGGTGGTGTTCAGTTGGTGGAACTTTTAAGAGGTGGAGTCTACCCGCCATTCCTGGTTTTTTTTTTTTTTTTTTTTTTTTTTTGTGATAATCAATGTTGTAGATGTCATAGTGGGAACCTGGTATTGAATGCTGTATTTTTATTTTATTTTTGCATCAGTTGTTGCTATTGTTTGTTTCCCCTCTTCTGTGAAGTGCTGGGGACCTACAAGGACACAGGTTCACAGGGTAGAGACTCTGCCGATGAACCAAACTCAGCCAAAAGAAGTGCACCTCGCTGCACACACAAATTAATGACACTCAAACTTTTTGGGGGCCTCGGGTTCTACTCACAGACAAAAAAACCCCAAAACAAACAAACAAACAACAAAAAAAGAAAAACAGAAGATTAACACAAAGTTTGTGGATACCACCCCTGCGAGGGGATCTCAATCTAGATCACACTAGGACACCTTGGTAAGATGGGGTTCTGCCCTAAAAAGGCCCCCACACAGGAGTAGAAGAGAAATCCATCCCAACAGATGCATAAAAACCCAACAGAGGAATACAAGAAATGTGGAAAATCAAGGTAACACAATGCCTCCTAACGTTCATAATTCACCAGCAACTGGTCCCAAGGATATTGAAGTAGATGAAATATCAGACAAAGAATTCCGAAGAATGATTATAATCATGATCAAAGAGGTGGGATCTAGTGCAAAGTACTAAGGTGATTGGGGGCACTGCTCTCAAAAGGGATTAACGCTGGTCTTGTGCAGTCAGTTCTCATGAGAATGGGTGGTTATAGAAGGAGTGAGCCTGCCCTGAGCTGCTCCCTGGCATCTTGCCTCACTACGGGATTGCTCTCTCACATGCTCCTGCCATCGCGATGCCCTCTACCACAAGGCCCTCCTCAGCACTGAGCACAAGCAGGTGTTGTGGTTTCAACCTCCAGAACTACTGTAACCCTAGTGACTTGGGAAGCTGAGGCAGGAGGATTATAAATTCGAGGCCAGCCTCAGCAACTTAGCAAGAGACCCTGTCTCCAAATAAGAAATAAAAAATTGGGGCTAGGGTTGTGGCTCAGCGGTAGAGCGCTTGCCTAGCATGTGCGAGGCCCTGGGTTCCATCCTCAGCACCACATAAAAATAAATAAAATAAAGGTATTGTGTCCAACTACAACTAAAAATTTTTTTAAAAAATGTTTGGGGAAGGATATTGACCAAATGATATGGCTACATTGTGTACATCTATGAATATTTAACAGCAAATCCCACCATTAGGTATAATATAAGGCACCAATAATGTTTTTTAATAAATACAAAGGACTAAGGGTGTAGCTCAGTGGTAGAGTGACTCTGGGTTCAATCCTCAGTACCCCACCCCGAGTCATTTAACTGTATCAACCTGTTCAATTCATGACATTTAGAACATTTAAATTGTATAATTATTACTTCTATCTAGCTCCAAAACATTTTCATTGCTCCAAAAAGAAATTCTGTGTTTATTAGACATCACTCCCTAGTCTTCCTATTCCTCATCCCCTGGAAATCTACATTCTATCTCCACGGATTTACCTATTTGGGACATTTCATGTAAGTGAAATCATATAATATGTGGCCTTCATGTGTGCTTTCTTTTACTTAGCATAAAATCCAAGTTATAGCTTGTTTTGGAACTTCATTCCAGTCCCCCCACACCCCTTTTTTGGTACTGGGAATTGAACTCAGGGGCACTCAACCACTGAGCCACATCTCCAGCCCTATTTTGCATTTTATTTAGAGACAAGGTCTCACTGAGTTGCTCAGCACCTTGCCCTTGCTGAGGCTGGCTTTGAACTCGCAATCCTCCGGACTCAGCCTCCCAAGTCGCTGGGATGACAGGCATGTGCCATCGTGCCCAGCTACTCCCCTCCCCTTTTTGGTGTCAGGAGCGGGATAATTTTATTCATTTCGCTGACCGAATTGTCATTGTAAGCATATGCCACAGTTTATTTATTTGCTCATTAGTTGATGGACATTTGGGTTGTTTCCACTTTCAGTTATTTTGAATAATGCTACTAACGAACATTTCTAGATAAGTTTTGATTGCGAACTACTGATTTCAGTTCTTCTGGGCATGGAATTTGCTAGGTCACATGGCAATCCTATGCTTAATTTTTTAAATTAGCAACAGCAGCATTCAGCATTCCTACCAACAATGCACAAGGTTCCAATTTTCACCTTTTCTTTCTGTTCCTGCAGTCATCTTGTCGAGCTAGGAGGAGCACAGTGGATGGCTACTTCCTGGCAGGCCGAGACATGACGTGGTGGCCAGTGAGTGAACCCTGACTTTTCACACACCCCCTCCCTTTGTCCGTGGGGCTGTATCTGGCCTTAGATCAGCTGGCACCTGCATCCCTGATATCACCTTACTGTCTTCCTAATCCAAGGTCACTGCCCAGGGTCAGCTCCATGGGATAGGCCTAAGGCTGGCAGGAGATCCTCGAACTGGGGGCGGGCGGGTAGGGTCAAGCAGATGGAATTTGCATAAAGGGTAGTCTCTGCCTGCTCCTTAGCAGCGTGGCTGGTACATCAACGCATACCCCTGGGCGTAGTCTCGTGTGTACAGTGGGAATGGGGCCCCACTTATGTTGTGATGTAAAAGGAGATGTTGTTGGGTCCAGGCTGGGGCTGGTGGCTGAAGCCTGTGCTGATTGGTTTTCCTCTTTCCTCCTCCAGATTGGAGCCTCCCTGTTCGCCAGCAGTGAGGGCTCTGGCCTCTTTGTTGGACTGGCGGGCTCTGGTGCAGCGGGAGGCCTGGCTGTGGCAGGCTTTGAGTGGAATGTGAGCACGTGGAGAGGGCATGTGCAGCCTGTGGGAGGGCTGGGCCAGAGAGTCCAGCAACTTTGGCTGGACATGTCAGCCATTGTCCAGGCAGGCTCTGGGCAGTGGTGTTCCTTGGGCAACATGGTCTTTGGGATGCTGTAGCGTGGCCGGAAGGGGGCTTTTGGCCTTGGCCCCACCCATCTGCCTACAGAGGCCCAGAGACAGGGAGGGGCCACCCAGGTTCTCACAAGTCAGATGGATCTGGGGTCCCTGGGTCATCTAGAAGTCTCAGGGGCAAGGCTTTGGGGATCTGCACACATGATCTTTACCTCCCCTATCCCCGCAGGCCACATACGTGCTGCTGGCTCTGGCGTGGATATTCGTGCCCATTTATATTTCCTCAGAGGTGAGTGGTGGGCCCGTCCTCCCCAGCCTCTGTGACCAGCTGGTGAACCCTCAGAGCTGGGTTTTTCCTATTAGACCAGCTGAGATTCTTACCAGCTGGGTAAGGCCGTCCCACTTAGACCTCTGCCTGCTTATTTTGTGACTAGTTTCTACTGCCCTGACACTGTCAGGTGGGACACCTGGATTGCACACCTGGACAGTATAGCTGAGTGGCACATTTGGACTGCACACCTGGGTGGCATAGCAGGGTGGCACTGGGCAGAACAGCTGGGTGGCACACCTGCCTTCACTATCCCTGACTCCACCCACCCCTTTAGCCCCAACCCCAGTCCTGCAGCCACCAAATCCAGTGGATTCCACCTCCATGCTCCCCCCCTGCTCTACCCCCACAGCCATCTTCTCTGTCCAGCCTCATCATAGATCCTCTGGGTTTGTTGCAACAGCCTCCAAACTTGTCCCTCTGTTCCCACCTGTGGCTCCTACAATCAATTCCTCATCTCAGCCCTGAAGAGCCAACCTCAACCTGTCTAAACTCAGCCTAGAATTCGGGGCCTGGGGCTGGGACTGCAAGGAGCAAGTTTCCTGGCCTTGCTCTCGAAAGGATCATGGCCACTTTGTGTGTCCAGGGAGAGGGAGAGCGGTTGGGATGGGCCCCTGCCCTGGACACCTGTCATGGTCTCTGGGGAGTGTTTAGCTCTTCTTGCCCATATGTCCCCCAGATTGTCACCTTGCCTGAATACATTCAGAAACGTTTTGGAGGCCAGCGCATACGCATGTACCTGTCTGTCCTGTCCCTGCTGCTGTCTGTCTTCACCAAGATATCGGTGAGTTGCCCCCCCACAGCCCCACCTTTTACCAGCGTATCCTGGAAACATCCCTGATCTGGGGCCCCTGAAACGGACCTGACATCCACCTCATTCATCACTGCTTTGTTGAACAGCTAGGGAAACTGAGGCCCAGAGAGTCCCATGGCTTGTTTAGAGTCACACAGCCAGTCTAGGACATCATCCTGCCTTAGTAGGGCTGAACAGGAGGGATTAGACCTGGGCATCTTCTCTGGAACCAGCAGCAAAGTAAGCCAGGATTTCCCACTAGAGGGCGCCCAAAGCCTGCATGGTCCCGGCAGGTTCTGCTACTGCACCCAGGAGACCTCCTGCCTTCCGCCAAGACTGCTGGAGGCAGCAGGTGGTTTCAGCTTTCCCTCAGGGCCTGGATCCGTGAATATTAAAGAGCAATAATCCCACCTTAAATGGGATGGTGATCAGAGGTGTTTTCCCTGTCCAAGACCCTGATTTTACAGATAGAGAAACTGAGGCCCAGGAAAGAAAGGAACTTGACCCAAGCCTCTTACCAGACTTTCAGACTTTCTCTTAACTTTCCTGGGGGCATCCAGGCTTCTGAACAAGCTTGAGTTGGGGCTGCCTGATATGGGCTAAGGTAGCGACCTTGACAAGTGTCCTGGCCTTGCCCTCATCGACACAGTGAGCCTCAGTTTCCTTCTGGTCAGCAGGAGCTGTGGGAAGAGGGACTACCTGAGAACAGAACACTGAGAGAGTCCCCAGAGCCCTCAAGGGGCCCTGTCTGTGGTAGGACTGGGCATTGGTCTGCTGCTCTCCCTCCTTGGTGTCCCCTCTGCAGCCTCAGCCTGACCTCCCCCTGTGCTCTGTGCTGGGGGACCACCCAGCAGCTGGGGCTGGGGGAGGTCCTCAGAGCATCTTGTTATTACTGTGGTCTGGTTTAGGGGGAGTTTCACCAGCAAGCATCACACCACCATCTTCACTAGATACTCTGAGAGAACTGTAGTAGGTTTTCTTCCTCCAGGGATTCCTTTCGAGTCTGGAGGGACCTGGCCTTGGGCTGCCCTTGAGACCAAGTTCTGAATTTTACTACTCTTCCTCCTCTTATCCCTTTCCTGAATCCCACCTCCCTGGAAGCCAGGGATACAGAAATAAATAACACCTTGTCTCCAGCCTGCCCTGGGCTTCACTACAGTGAGGTTGATAAATAGGAATGACAGGCACGGCCAGATGGAACTCAGCAGGTGGCATCTCAATTGAGCCCCAACAGAGAAAGAGATGGTAGTGGAAGAGCAAAGGAGAATGGCTAAAGGGGAGACGGGGCCATGTGTACGATGTGCCTGGGGGTGGCCGGATCAGGAGGCCTAGATTCTAACAGCCACTCTCAGTCAGATGCTTTAGAGATCAGATAGGAAAACAGGGAAGAGAAAAAGCTGGGCCAGGCCCAGTGGCCTGTGATCCCAGTGAATCAGGAGGCTGAGGCAAGACGAGCACAAGTTCAAAGCCAGCCTGGGGTATTTAGTGACGTCCTAAGCAACATAACAAGACCCCTGTCTCAAAATAAAAATAGAAAATGGATTGGGGGTGTGATTCAGTAGCTGAGTGTCCCTGGGTTCAATCCCTGCCCAGAACCAGAGAGAGAGAGAGAGAGAGAGAAACTGGAAGGGAGGTAATAGGGAGTATTGGAGACTGAGGCAAACCAGAGAATGGGTTTCAGGGGAGAGACAGAGGAGGGGAGGCATGTGGGGGGTCCCCGGAGGGGTCTAGTGGGCACAAGGCTGCTTCACCTTCACCACCCCTGTGTTTACCCTACTGACATCTATGCAGTACAGAGTAGATGTCACATGGAGCTGGCTTCAAGTGAGTGGCTAAGGTGGAACTTCCCGAGCAGCAGAGGGAAGAGCTCCTTAGAGACTACCATCTCCAGGCCTCCCTCCCTTCCTCCCTTCCTCCCCATGTTCAGATGTGACCGCTGAGACCCACACTGTACCCCGGGTCAAGATCACTGCCACCAGGCAGAGTTCTGTGAGAACCCAGGTCTCTGCCTCCAGGCCCAAAGGACACTACTGCTCCTCAAATAGCCAGGATGTGGCACTCCAAACTCCACTTTGTGCTGGGGTGACTCAAAGGACCCAGCTATGAAAAGAGGAGTGAGCAGTCACATCAAGGCCAGGCTTCGGAACCATCGCGGGAGCTGCCTAGATGAGGCAGAGGGCGAAGCTGAAGCAAGGCTAATTGCTGGTCTTGGTTTGGGAGGGGACTAGGGCTGCCCTGCTCCTGGCTTTGGAGTGAAGCTGTTTGAAGTGCACGCATTCTACGGGCCCTCAGAGGTCCTGACCACACCAGGCTGAGCTTTAGGAACATCTCATGTGTCCGCCCATCCAGAAGCCATCCCAGGTGCAGCCTGTCTGGACAGAGGTCCTAGAATTGGCCTGCAGCCTTCCCTCAGGCGGGGGCACCTGCCTGCCAGGAGGACCTGTCATGGGAGGGTATGGAGAATCACCACCATGCTCATCTAGAGGAACCGTGAGCTCTGGCCAGACATTTAACTTCTGGAAAATAGGGAAGGCAGGCAAAATACCCTATGCCACTTGGACTGAAAACCCCACCAGCTTCACCTCTTCCTCTTCTCCTTCTGGTCTCCTTGCACTGCCACCAACCTGCCAGGCCTAGTCCTGCTTTAGCACTTGCTGTGGCCTCTTCCTGGAGCCCTGTTCCCCAGCTGTGCCCTTGGCTCCCTCAACCTCTCTCAAGCTTTTTAAATTCTTTACCCCTGCCCCAGGGAGACAGCTCCCTTACCTTTTCTCTCTCCTTCCTATTCTTACACAGAATCATTGACTTACAATGTCTATTGTCCGTCTCCCCCATTTTTTCTCTTTGTTCCCTGATGCATCCCCAGTTGGTGCCTGGCACACCTCCTGGAACTGAATAAGTTAACATAAGTCAGGGTCGGCTCATTTTTTTTCTACAAAGAGCCTGACAGTAAATATTTGGGGATTTGGGGGCCATCGAGTCTCTGTTCCAACTCCTCAACTCTGCTGCAGTGGCCAATAGTAGAATAAGGTGGGTCTGGATTTGGCCTGCAGTTTCCTCTGGTCTCTGGAAGCATGCTTACCTATGGTACACCTACTGTGTGCCTGGCTCTGGGTGAGCAGGCCAGCCCAATGAGCCCTTTCCAGATAGGTGTGATGCCTGGACAGAGCAATACCATCACAGCAACAGTGAACATCTGAGCCAAGAAGCCAACTCGGGAGGTGATAGTGAGGAGAGGGGACAGGGGCGCTCTGGGGTGGACATTCAAGCTTTGCTGCATTATCTGGGCAAGAGTTTGGCAAACACAAGGAGTCAGGGAGCTGCTGGTGGGGCTGGAGTGCAAGGGGCATGGGGAAAAGGGGAGCATGATGGGACAGATAGGGGGTAGCCAGCAGCACACAGGGCCTGGGGCTGGGCAGGGCAGGTGGTCTTTATTCCTTGTGTGGTGTAAATGCTGGCATCCCCTGAGTTTCCTCCAGAACAAGCAGTACAGGAAGAAGCAGTGAGGGTCTCCAAGGGCAGCACAGTGGGTAGGGAAGAGTGCAGGAGTGTTTGGGGAAAGAATCCACAGCCATGGCCAGAAGTTTCTGTTCTGAGTCCTCAAGAGACAGCGATCGTCTCTAAAGAAATGAGCAAGGTCCTGGGCAGGAGACACAGGGGACAGACAACTTCATAGGATAATCAATCACGCAGTAATTAATAAATATCAGTGCAGGGCTCCATGGTGGCCAGGTGGGGACAGGGAGAGGGAGTAGATGAAGGGATCAGAAACACCAGGCCGTCTCTAGCCTTTGGCTGCTGATGCACCTTGTAGGGGACAGTGTCTACCAACTGGGAAATGGAGTGAAGACCCCAGAACCTGGGAAGCTTAGAGTTCCAAGCTGTGGGAGCCCCACAGATCAGCCCCCATGCTGCTCATGGACTTTGAGCAAGATATGAACTTCTCTGTGCCGAAGTGTCCTCATCTAAGGAGTGCAGTTGGCCATCACAGCCACCCGCCAGAGGGCCACAGCATTAGATGAGGCTCTGAATACCATGCTCAGGACTGTGCCTACAGACACGAACACTTGTCATCTATCAAAGGTGGCAAGTAGACGAAGGTCTCCTTGGGGACAACTGGGGATGCGGAGGACCAACAGAGTCTCTGGGTATAAGATAGAGGGAGAGGGGACAGGGGCGCTCTACAGGCAGACATGTTGGAAGGAAGCAGGGCAGTGGTGGGGTTGAGCGTGGGCCAGTCGGGACCCTGAACATCATCCTGAAGCTTTCTCATGTGTCTGAGCAGTGGCTCTGGTCCTGCTGGGTGGTGGAGTGAGGTCCTTGAGAGTGTCCTATCTACAGGGATGCAGCTGCCTGGTGTTGTCCTTTTGATTGGTTCCCAGGGTTATGCCACAGTGGGTGAGTTTGACTTTGGTCAAACTCTTGACTGTGGTCTCTCCACCCATGTTTTCAGGGGGTTCGATTAGACTCTGCAGCTGCCCCTGGGCCAGAGAGGAGGAAGCCCCCTCGGAGGTTGCTTAGCTTTCTAGAGCATCTCTTGGGGAGGTCTATGCAGAGGGAGAAGCCACTGCTCCTGCTGGTCTGGCAGAAGTGACTGTTCACTCCACATCTGCTGCATTTTACAGATGAGGGCCACTGAGGCTCGGGGGTGAAGTGACCTGCTCAGAACTGTATGGCTGGGACATAGCAGACCAGGAACACAGACCCAGGGCCATGTGGGTCTTAGCTTCTACCAGGCAGAAGCTTGTTGGACCCTCAGCAAAGAGGGCTTGGGCTGCAACAGAGAGTCGGGCAGGAATAGATGTGTGCAGGTCCTCACCAGGGGACTTTTTGGGGTTACAGGGAGTTGTGCCCTTGGGGGACCTACGTCATGGAGGGTCCTACAGAGAGGATTCAGCTAAGGTCCTCCCCACTCCTCAGCGCTCTTGAAAGCCTGCTCCCATGGAAGGAAGGGAGGGAGGGAGGACTGACTATCCACCAGGGGCAGAGGTGTGGGTCTGGGATGGTGAGTTTTGAAAATGAGAGGCAGAGACTGGGACAGTCCAGGGCAGATGGGGCTAGTGAGCTGAGGCCAGAGTCGGCAAAAGTGCTGGGTGGTGAGTCTGGTGTGACCAGGACCTGGAGACCAGGTGCACAGACTAGGGCTCCATTCCAGGGATCTGGGGTCCAGAGGGGTTCTCGACAGCAGCTGTAGGGCAGCCGGGCAGTGGCAGGCAGTCTGTTGCAGTGGGTTTTCCAGAGACCTCCTGTCCCAGGGTCTGGCTTTGGGAAGTCCCTTTACTGACTTGGGGCCTCAACTTCTCCTCGTCCTATGGGGTGAGGACTTCAAGAATCCTTCAAGGAAGGGTTAGGGTTAGCATTTCTGGGCTTCTCGGCTCAGGCTGGAGGCCAACCTCCCCCTCCCCAATCTCTCTCTGAACCACCCCTCACATGTACACTCATGCACACCGCTAAAGCCACAAGCCCAAATGGCTGTACTCTCCAGGAGCAAGGAGGAGCCAGAGGAAGCAGTGTAGGGAACATGGGCTCTGGAGTCCATCTTGTTCTTACCTGGACTCTGTCCCAGGGGCTCTGGTCCCCGGGCCCTGGCTCAAGATAGTGCTGGCTGCTCCAACTTGGGCCAGGCTCTGGGGGAGATCAAAGGACTTAGGATCCATGCCTCTTGGGCTCTAGGAAGACCAGGTCTTGTGCAAACTTGTTCCACACAGCTGGGGGCTCCAGTGACCCACAGTCCTGTCCCAGCTTTCTCAGGGTCCCAACGCTATATTTCAGGCAATCCCCTCCTCTACTGAGCCAACACAGAATGGCAACAGGGGTGGAGCAGGGTGAAGCCCATTATTTGGCCCCGGGTCCCAATGGGATTATGGTCTGTAAGGCTGATTCCGGCACCGAGGCTGCCTAACCCCAGACTGAGACTCCTACCCGCATGTGGCCCAATGTCTGGGACAGTGCAGCTGTAGGCCCAGACCTCTAACCAGCCCTAGCCTGTGACATGACTGTGAGCACTCTGGCTTCAGATCCAACCTCACGGGAAGGAGTGGACAATAAGCCACTCTGCTTCCCCGCCCACCCCCAGCACCTGTCTTCTGAGGCCCACTAGTCTTCACGAGCCTTCCCAGGAATTCCTCTTGGACTCTTCCTTGTTAAGGTCACTCTAGGAAGCGAGGGGAGAGGGCTCTTTTGTATCCGTTGGGAAGTGACCAAATTCAACAACACCATGCTTTCTGGTGGGCATTGGCCACCCTGGACTTTATTAATGACAGTACATCCCTGGTACATCTGCACATGGCTCACAGCTGGCGAGGCCGCTTCTTCCTCCCACCCTCACAACAGCCCCAGGATGCGGGTGGGTGGACAGGGGTCTCCCCTCCCTCATCCAAGGGGCATCCAGGCCCAGAAAGGGCATTTCCCAGGTCACACGGCCCGTCAGTGCAGCGCCAGGGTTCTGACCGTCGGGTCCTGGTAACCTTGGACTTCTACCCCAAACCTCTTTCTTCCTCAGATCGACCTGTACGCCGGGGCCCTCTTCGTGCACATCTGCCTGGGGTGGAACTTTTACCTCTCCACCATCCTCACACTTATCATTACCGCTCTGTACACCATTGCAGGTATGGCTCCTCTAACAGGGTCAGGGCAGGGGCCTGAAGGGAGGGCCTGCCCACCACTGGCTTGGGCAGAGCCAGGAGACGCACAGGAAGCACCGTGGGCTCCGGGGGAGACCCCCCAAGGAGTGCAACCAGGTGCTTTAGCTCATTGCTCACCCACCTCTGAAAGGGTAGGGGGCACATCTGGGAACAGCTGCCCCAACAGGAGCTCTAGAAGTTGCCTCCTTTGAGGCCAAGGGACCCCACCTCCAGTAACCTTGTTCCCCACAGGGGGCCTGGCCACTGTGATCTACACGGATGCCCTGCAGACAATCATCATGGTGGTGGGGGCTGTCATCTTGGCGGTCAAAGGTAAGGGCTGGGGGCCATGGCTATAGACGGGGGTGGGCTGCCCCAGCAACCTGCAGGACTGATGAGGTCGCGCTGCTAGGCAACCATCCCTTGCAGGCCTCTCCTGGCTGCCCCGCTGCCCAGATGTCACCAGCTATGGGCCGGGCAAGGAGCTGACTCAGGAACACAGGGCCTGCCGTGTGCCGCCCTGGCTCAGGACTGACAGCAAGGTGGGGCTGCCGGAGGGTGTGGAGGCAGCAATTAGGAGACCACAACACTGCCCAGGCGTCTCCTCCAATTGTTTAAGATCAGGTACAGAATCCTGAAAGGTGATGCTACCTACTGCTAGAGGCAGGGGAGGGGTGAGGAGCATTTAGACAGAGTGATGACATTAGTCTGGGAATAGCTTATAGGGCTGCCAGGGGCTGGGGGGTAGGGTGGAGGTAGTGAGCTCCCTGTCCCTGAAGTACGCAAGCAGAGCCGGGAGGATCCCACAGAGGGCGAATGAAAGCCTTTAAAGATTCCAGACTCAGAATCTGAGATCCTGAAAACTCTAAGCCTTGTGTAGCATCTGTACCTTTGCTTTGATACTCACATAGGTCCCTGAACACAGATCCTGGCCCGGCTTCTAGTGTAGGCAACAGGTTCCCTCTTCCATGATCTGCTGGGGAACAGGGCTTGGGGCAGAGACAGGCTTCTTCCTCTTAGCCCACGGACCCTACATCCACAAACCTCACTGCACATGAGGGACCCAGACAGCTAGGCCCAGTCTGGATGGGAGTGGAGTGACCACGGCTATGGCCAAACCACAGACAGGCCAGGGCTTGGCCATGTAGAGTCCTGACCCCGAGGTAGACAGAAACAATGAGGGGAAAGATTTGCTCTGGACTTGAAAGACCCCTGGCTTGAGCCCCACCTGCCCAGCAGGCTGCATGATCTTGGAGAAGCCACATCACTGCCACCATTCTTGGCTCTACTAAAATCACAACCTTTTGGAACCTGGGTCAGGACATTTAACACTTTAGATGCCTCAGGAAAGTCTTTGAGTGCCAAGAAAAAAGGTTTTGCTTCCTTGAATGGGCAGTTCAAAACCTGGCGGAGAACCCCTTATCGGAGGCCCACAGGCATCTGGAGACCAGCAGTGATTCCCACCAGGCCAAGTGGACACAGTGGTGTCCATGTGCAAAATGCTCATTTAATAGTATTATCTTAAATACAAATAAAATAGTTATTTAATTTCACCTTTTTTTTTTTTTTTTTTTTTTTTTGAAGCCCTCTACCCACCACACCTTCCCAAATGCCAGGAAAGGCAAGGTAGAAAAAAATTCCAGTTTGATGCATTAGGATGTTATTTGTGAGATGAGGAAGTGCAGCAGGAGCTGGGGAGTCAGGGCCACCCAACCAAACTGTCCCTGTCCTGCCCAACCCTTCCAGCTTTCGACCAGATCGGTGGTTATGGGCAGCTGGAGGCAGCGTATGCCCAGGCCATCCCCTCCAGGACCATCGCCAACACCACCTGCCACCTGCCACGCACAGATGCCATGCACATGTTCCGGGATCCCTACACAGGGGACCTCCCATGGACCGGGATGACCTTCGGCCTGACCATCATGGCCACCTGGTACTGGTGCACCGACCAGGCAAGTGCCAGCGACACCCACCCTCTCCACCTTCCTGCCTTCCAAGCATGGGCTCTGGTGGGTCCAGCCCGGACGGGGCTGCTAGGGGTCCTTGTGGTCCCGAGGTGCCTGGGCCCTCCGCTTAGAATCAGACGAGGCCCACTGGCTGCCCCCCGACCTGGCTTTTAGGTGCTTTGACTGGGACAGTTTGGAAAATGGGATTCCAAAGGGACTCGGACGCTCCTCAGTGGCTCTGCTATCAGCCAAGATGCGGGTGTTTCGTGCTGGCCTCGGGCTCCGGGTATCGGGCAGTATGCGGGCTGTTGGGCTGCCCTTGGGCTGCCAGTGCTGGGGGCCTACTGTGGCCAGGGTCACTTTCCTGGGAGAGCTCTGGGCGCCATCAGCAGCAGGGCAGTACCGGGGACCTCCTGGGGTCTTTGAGGCAGGGCCATCACGGTGGAATTGCTGGCCCTGGAAGAGAGAAACAAAGAGTAAGGACTGTGCAGGGACCCTTGCCAGGCACGCAGGGTGGGCCAGACCTGGAGCAACAGATTTCTGGCTTGGCCACTCAACAAATTGGGTTTAACTAGTTTGTGCGTCTCAGTTTCCTGATCTGTGACACAGAATCATTCTGCCTTTGGGGTTGTAGCTCCTGCCATATTTCCTCACCATCCCCACCAAGCCTTGTCAATCTGGGCACAGGGCTGCATGAGGTTTAAAAACACCAAACGGGGTTGTTGGAGACCTGAATTTCTGTTAAGGGCAGAAGACAACTCTGGTTCCCCCACCATCATGAACCCTGCAGGGTTCAGAAAAGCCACTTCCTGTCACTGGGCAAAAGCAGATGATGCCTCTGCCTGCTTATCCTGAAGGCCATGGGCCTTGTCCTGGGAGCACAAGCTGGGGACCTCTTGCCTTCCCTGTGAGGCGGGCAGGCCACTCACAGGCTACAACACTGAGGCCCAGACACAGAGGTAGACGTGGAGGGTGGAGTGACTTTCCGGGACTCCTGAGCAAGAGGGGCTCCATCAGTGACTGCCCAATGATTCTCCCTGGGTTCTAACAGTGGGAAGTGACACAGACTTGGAAGTGACAGAGGCCCTGGGAAGCTGGGCCTCAGTTTCCCCATCTGTAACCCCACACCCCTTAGATGCCCACATCAGTTATGCAATATGCCTGGACTTTCCAGGGAACGTGTGGCCCATGGCAGATGTCTGCCCAGCTCCCCTGGGAAGGCTGAGGGCCAGCCCAGGTGGGCAATAGACTAGAGGAAAGATGGCAGTGGAGGGTGAGCAGGGCGTATGGGCACCCCTGCCAGGCTGAGTCCCTATATCTCAGCTACCTCCTGTCTCCTTCCATGTGGCAAGACCTGGCACGGCACAGGCTTCCGAGTGGGATGTCATCCAGGAGAATTTCTATGAAGGTCCTTGGGGTCAGGACTGATGGGCCTCACTGCACAGATAAGGAGCCTAAGACCCAAAAAGGGTCTGCCCCGTCTTCTCCCCTTGGGCTGGGTCTGCCTGAAGGCTGTGGGGTCTTGGTCCAGCTCCGGGCACAGGTCTGACTCAAGGCTCCCCAGTCTTTGGGCGGCCCCACACTAGCCCCTGGAGACTTTTGGGGACCCAGGGGTCTGCCTATGCTCTGTTCTCTATGCTGGGTCCGTGGGGGCTTTTCATTTCTTCTATAAACTTTTCACTGTTTCCAGCCTCATCCACAATGAGTAGGTGACAGTTTTGTGATCAGAGACAAAAACCAACAGCAAATGAGGCAGAAGGGCCAGAAGGAAAAGTCCTGGCCTGGTCTGGGTTTTACTACTGCCTCTTCCTGAGCCTCATGTACACATGGTGCACAGATGGGAATGACTCTTAGGGTCCTTCCAGCTCTGGTAGCTCCCCAAACTGTCCCCTGCTGATGCTATGGTATGAACCAGAGTTATCTTCCCCTCGGTCAACAGCAACAGCCCCAATCCTAACAAGGACTGCAAGTCTTTGTAGTCAGCCATGACTGGCTAGTGGCCACACCCTAAGAAAAGGCTAAAAAAATCCTGAGAAAGAGAACTCACATCTACCAAAGGCCCTGGACCAGACAGGCACAAGCTCTGCCGTCCACACCAGTGACATCACTTAGTCCTTGCAGCAATCCCTGCATTGGCAGCAGTAACCTATTTTGCAGATAGAAATGGGGTCAGGGAGCTGAAAAGGCCAATCCTGGGGAGGGAGGTAGGACCAGGCTAGGACTTGATGTCCCTTGTGAGAGGTGCTATGAGGCAGTTTCCCCACTGAGACTATGGACGGTCCACACATTGTCCCTGACACTCAGGGGTGGAGGAGCCACGCACAGCAGCATCCCTGTGGCTCATGGAAACTGAGCCTCAGCATCTCCACCTGGGGCGACAGCCCCTGTCCTGGAGCACAGGATGAAATAATGGAGACAAACAATGAGTCGTGTCAATGATGAAAGATGACAGATGTGCATGACACTGAGGCCTCGGGGCTCTTGCAATCAGTCACAGACAGTAGAGGAGAGAAGAGTCTAGACAGAACCTCCTCTAATACCCTCACTGTCCAGATGGGGAAACTGAGGCAAGAATTGGTTCCAAGTCACAGCAAGCTGGCAGAGAGGCAGGACAGAAATCAGCTGCCTTGCAGCCTGTGAACACTTTTCCTCTAATGACTGTCTCAGGAGAGGCACACCTGTGGGGTCAATGCTGGGAACTATCTATTGAATGAGCATGCTTGGAAAAGAAGTTTAAATCACAGATATCTCCTGCTTCTGAGTTGCAGACAGCAGAAGAGATTTAAACTGTGGAACAGCACAGAAAAAAAAAAAAAATACATTTCAGAGTTATAGGTTGTGCAACACCTATGAACACATGAAAAACCATGGGAGAGTCCACATTAAAAAAAATATGTATATATGTATGTGTGTGTGTGTGTGTATAT